ACTACTTACAACAGAAGCACCAGTAAATTATTAATATTTACTGTATATGCAACTAACCCTAAACCAAACCCTGATCCTAACTCTATAATAGTGTTGGAAATTAATATGACTCTGTACTTAACTGTATAATTACACTGCACTTTAGGACACCTTAAAGCAGTGGTTCTCAATTCCAGTCCCCGCGTACCACCGCACTGCACACTGTACCACGCCTGCAGCATCTTCACACACAGACAAAACTTACTAAGTGTGACATGATATACCTCTGTAAAAAAAAAAATACAATTTTAAATTCATGTCTCACACACTTTAATGCCCTTTGAATGAAACATATACTGAAATCATGGCGGAATATCTTGCTATGTCCACTTCGCAGGGAACTTATGGTCTAATAGAACAAATGTCTGAAGTAATAAAAGATACATACAAAATGTGCAGAGTGGAACGAGGACTGGAATTGAGAACCACTACCTTAAAGTATAGATAGATAGATAGATAGATAGATAGATAGATAGATAGATAGATAGACAGACAGATAGATAGATAGACAGACAGACAGACAGACGGACAGACAGACAGACAGATTAGAATTTATTTTCCCCTCAACCATCTTAATCTTGACTTGTTCTGGAGAAATTCCCAGCTAAATTGCATGAGCAGGGTTAACATTTTATATCACTACAGTGGATTTTAGTCATTTTGAGGAGTTGCATGCATGAAAGATGTGGGACCTTGAGCATTTCTTTTATGTTTTTAGTTTGCTGAAACGTTGTTAGTGACTTGCATGCATAATTATGTTGTCACATGCTGTATTATGTTGTCACATGAATATGCATATAATAGAAATGTAAATAATTAATAGAGAGTTGTTTTCCTGCAAATGGTTTGCATGCTGTATGCCTACTTAAAGGAATAGTTCTCCCAAAAATAAGATTTGCTGGAAATTTAACCTCAGGCCATCTAAGATGAAGATGAGTTTGTTTCTTCATCAGAACAGATCTGGAGAAATTTAACACTTGCTCACCAATGGATCATCTGCAGTGAATGGGTGCCATCAGCATAAGAGTCCAAACAACTGATAAAAATGTCACCATAATCGATAAGCAATCCACACAACTCCAGTCCATCAAATAATGTCTTATGAAGTGAAAAGCTGTGTGTTTGGAATAAACAAATTTATCATTAAAATGTTTTAAACCTCAAAACATCGCTTCCAGCTAAAATACAAGTCTTCTGTCCATAGTATTGCTTTCTCCAGTGAAAAAGTCTCATCTGTATCAGGAGAGAAATATGCACAGCTCAAGCACCATTTACAAGTGAAAACAGTCCGAAACATACATATACATATGTGTATTTATTAAATATATTCTCAATTCAATTCTGAATGGCACAAAACCCTAGACTGAGATATTAATCCATGAAGCTATTCATGTTCTCTCTGTCACAAAAATAAAGCTGTGTTTGCTCAGTGCCATTTGGCACAGCTGAAGCATTTTAACATTGAGCATTTATGATCATATAGGGACTTAGAGCTCATGCCACAATGGTTTAGCGCATTATTACATGTGTAATTTTGCAGTCCAGAGTAATTAGATGAGCCAGAATATAATGCCTTACCCCCATCTGCTCAACAGCCTGATAACTTCAATGCTTAACTCATTTGTCTAAGAGTTGGAACTGAGGTTTACATATGTTTTCAAGAGCTATTAAATCTGTTACCAGCAACTTTCTGAACAACAATGACATTAACAAGGATTTTTATTGTTTGTGAATAAATTTGTGTTCCTTTTATTGACATTTGGATGAGAATTAGAAGGCTCTATAAGCCTGCAATGGAAGGCATGTTTAGAAAATCTTCAATTGTTGTGAGACAAGATATAAGATTAAACTTTGATTGTGCTCAAATTTATTCAGCTGGTGGAGCGACTACACTAAAGTCTCAAGGCCTTGTTAGCTTTGAGAGATGAGCAGAGATTGTGTGAAACAAAAGTAGGGTCATCATTCATTACCAGCCCCTCAGTAGCTCTCATCCTGAAACGTCCCCTGCAGGCTGTGCCTTCAAACACCACGCGCCTTGTTTATTGAAAAAGGGACCAGTTTGAAACGACAAACCGAGGGGAACAAATAGCGAAGCGCAGAGATTAATCTTTACATCTGTGTGAGAGCACAAAATAAATTTAGCAATGACTTGACGGAGGGGAACACAGGGAACTGCATCTGTCAGTCATCAGTCCTGAGTACAGTGGAGTAATTCTCAGGATTAAATGTGCTATTAAGAGTTATCGTGAATACCCAGACGGCTTCATTGCCTGTCTTTACGCTGTCTATTAGCTATAAATAAACGTAGGGTACATAGTTCATTGCCTCTCTTAGTGAATGTACTTAATGAAATTTACCTTGGGTAGTGGTTTGTGAAATGTCACACGATAAGGAATAAGACATGCACATGTACAAGGGGAACATACTGTTTTTGTTCCTTATTTCAGTATCAGAGTTTAAAATAAGTTAAAAAAAAAAGAGAGACTAAAATCAGTAAAATGAGTAACTTTGAGATCAAGTGAGATTGTCCATCTGTCCACCCTCTTTTTAAGTCCATCCATCCATTATATCAATTTATCAATCGATCCATCCATCCATGTCTCTTTCCATATATCTATCACTCTATCTAGCTATCCATACATCCATCTTTCTATATATCCATCTATCCGTCTGTCCATCTATCTGTCCATCCATCTTTCTATATATTTTTTTATCCGTCTACTGAACTGTCAGTCCATCCATCCATCCATCTTCCTATATATCTATCTATTGTTTGTTGATCTGTTCGTCCATTCATACATCCATCCCTCTTTTTATCTGTCCATTCGTCCATTCATCCATCCATCATATCAATCTATTGATCCATCTATACATCCATCTCTTTCCATAATTCCATCTATCGCACTTTCTAGCTATCCATCCATCCATCTTTCTATATTTCCATCCATCCAGCCACCCTTTTTTTAAGTCCATCCATCCATTATATCAATATATCAACTGATCCATCCATCCATGTCTCTTTCCATATATCTATCACTCTATCTAGCTATCCATCCATCCATCCATCCATCTTTCTATATATCCATCTATCCATCTGTCCATCTTCCTATATATCTATCTATCTGTTGTCTGTTTATCTGTTCATCCATCCATACATCCATCCCTCTTTTTATCTGTCCATCCATCCATCCATCCATCAATTGATTGATCCATCCATGTCTCATTCCATATATCTGTCCCTCTATCTAGCTATCCACCCATCCATCTTGATATATATATATATATATATATATATATGTATATATATATAT